TGGACTAAGGGCCGGTTCATTTTACTCTGTTCGAACTTTCTTTGTTTAATTTGGACGTTGTTGGTCCTTCATATATATATATATATATATATAAATATATATTTATGGTTAGTGTGCCAAGTGAGAATTTGAACCATTTTAATTAAAGGGATTCTCACCTTACCTCATAGTTAAGGATGAGAATTCTTGTCATCAAATCCTATGAAGTACCAACTCACATTTTAAGAAAGTAAAGTTTATAATCTAAGTTATTGTGATGAGTACCAAAACTAGTTCTTATAATCTAACGGCGTGAATGTTCCTTTGTATGAAAATCAGGAGGTCATTAGCTATTAGTGTCTCTCTACATACTTTCTTTTGCTAGAAGTTAATTGACATGTTTGTTTTGACCACTTCAATGTACTTTGACTTTTAAACTTATTTCTCCCCCTCAAATTATCATCATTATCTGTTCATGTTCAAAAGAGTTTCCATTAATAAGCTATATAGTTTTGGAAAATGTACATATCTTTTTAATAAACAACTAATTTCACTAATTTTCTTAATTCATATACATTAATTAGTTATTTAGTTTTAACTTTTAGAGCTCAAAAGAGTATGTATATGCATGTGTATATTACACAAAAGTATAACACATCATGCAGATTAAATGACTCGAAATAAAAAACAAATAGAACAAAGGGCAAATAGGCAATTTAAATCCAGTCCTACACAAAAACGTGTTAAGAAAATGATTCGCATATATGATACCTCTCATTATTATATATATAGACTTCTTTTCTAACAAATATCCGTATGTACGTACGTATATATTGAAGCGGATGACTAACACATCGATCATTGGTGCCTAAAACACAATATTAATTGGTTTTGTTTATCTTTTTGCACTAACATTGTACAGCCATAATATTATTCCATTTGATTAAAAAATAAAACACATCACGTGGGTTGAATATGTGGGCGTCTGAGTTTAGCATACCACGCTTACGAAAATGAAAAAGAAGAATAACATTAGGAGAAAAAAAACTATTAATATCTTCTTTACATTTTTTTTGAATCCCAATCACAAGCATAGGAAACATAAATGGAATAAAAAATGACACAAGTCTAAAGACACGCATAACTAAAGGATAACCATACATCGCCAACTTCTTTCTAATATAGAAATATTCTAATATATATGAATAGTCTTGGTCGTCACGTGAAGGATCTTTGTAAACCACAAATTTTAAAATTTTAAAGAATCTCTTTAGGAAGGGAACTCATAGACCGCCATAGATATGGATCCATCTTTTGCTATTCTTATATTATCCCCATTTTTTGAACATCATATAATAATGTACGTAGTTGCTTCAAACTGACCGTTTCATTAACATTATTATCAGAAATCTAAAGGCCTTTACTTAGATTCTCTCAACAAGCACGCTTGGCTACATAAAATTAAACATGTGAAGTTCCTTCGTCGGGATTAGGTTAACTATTGTTAGAGAATCTCTCTACAAATAATTTCCCATCATCCATCTTATAGCACAAGAGGCAACACTAGTGCAAAATACTACTACCACTTCTATTCCTCAACTAACAAACACAAAATTATGATACCACCTCCAATTCTTAATATAACATCTAGTTAACTAATTTGAATAGATTAATAAAGTTTGTTAAGTTAGTTATTTGTAATAAATATATGTTGTCTTTCCTAAAATACCCTTACCAATTATGTGTATTAGCTAGAATTCTATTTAATGAAATTTTTAACATGTACAACTATTACAAAGACTACTTAAAAAAATAGATAACTATGACATACAAAGTATATTGTGATCTTATATTTAAAACTAAATTAAAAATCAAATGAGCTCTTACATTAAGGACCAGAGGTGGTACTGCCTTTGGTACTTAATATAAGACCTGGTTGACTAATTTAAGAAAATTAATAAAATCAAAAACTTATTTAATTATAGCATATGTTATATATCTCTCTAAACTATTTGCATTGTGTGTATCATTAGCTTATATATTAGTTTATAAACTGAACAAATTAGTTTAAAAAAGAAGAAGATAAATATAACACTTTAAAATAATTTATTTAACTATATTAATCTTTTCTAATTGAATCTTATATTAGGGACGAGAGAGTAGTAAGTACTTTTTTACACTAATAACTTCATATGTTAAGTTTCTAAACCAACTACTAAGACTCGCATTGCATGGAGTTGAGAAGAAGTAGGTGTCATAAATAATGGAGATATTAAGATTTTATGTTAAATTTGGGGTATTTATTGCATAATTTTTATTTCTGAAATAGCATAATTCATTATATTTTTTGAGGCTCTACATCAACCGTTATATATCTCTTATTTGGAGTATATCCCATTCACTCTATCAGTGATTAGGAAAAAAATAATAGATATTAACATTTTGTTTATTTGAATTAACAGTGTGAAGAAGTGATTTATGCCGTACAGGATGAATATGTGAAAGAAATTTTATTTTATAAAATGTAAAAATACTTATTTTCAGCTCATCCAGGCAACCCTACACACGCGTTAGTTTTGAATCAAATCATTATTATGGGAATCAAATAATCACATATCAAGTTTCAAGCGAAATACTTATAATAAAAAAGATTCAAAATTTCAAATCATATGCAAGGAAGCTGAGAATGAACGTGTCAGACTCCGAATTCAAGTGTGGTCCTCAAAATTGATGTGCTTCTGACTGTATATTTAAAAAAAAAAAAAAGTGCGACTTGATGTCATCCATATCATAATGTTCTTATCGTACCGAGCACGATTTTCTTTTTCTCGAAACGACAAGTTCCCAACTGCTCCGCTGTTATCCCTCAATTACTTCACATGAATTGAAATATTAGTTAAAACTCGTTAAGTATAAAAGTCATTGTAAGTTTTTAAAAATTATTCTCAAACAGGTTAAAATTAAAATTTCTTTTTCACAGTGAGGAGCACGGCTAGAGTTATTTATTTGAAAATGCATCATAAACATTTTACTAAATTTCAAAAGTAATCTTAAAAATAGGATAAGCGAGTAGTATATTATAGTAATCTATTTAAATATTACCTCCATTCCTTAATATAAGACTTTCTTTGACTTTTATTTTAGTTGTAAATATAAAACCCCAATCTACTTTTTCTCTCATATTTATTTATTTTTTTCTAGGGAAAATGACAGATAAAAAAGCTCCAAAATGTGAAATGCCAATTTGGGAAGCTAAGGAAATGTAATTACCCATAGGGAAGTCCTTCCCAAATTAGAATTTTGAAATTCAGTGAAATGACAAAAATGCCCTTTGTTCTTTTTTTTTTTTAAAAAAAAACCCAGCCCCTCACCGGTGGCCAACGACCGGCGACTACCGCCGGCGACCGCCACCGCCTCTGGGCACCGGTGTGGTGGTGCCGATGAAGGATTTTTGTGACAAGATTTTTTTTTTTTAGAATGGGATAATATTGGTTCAAAGTGACGGGGGTGGGATTTGATCCCACAACCCTTTGGCCACTTGGACCAACAAAAGGGAAGATGACTATTGGGCTATCAAAGATTTATTAATCTTATAATACAAGTAAAAATATAAGTTAACTTTTTTACTGTGACTCCAGCTCGTGACAACAATTTATCTGAGGATGACAAGTCTTAATTGAGAAATAACAAGTCTAAATTTGATATTAACAAATCAACTTTTCCTTATACATAACAAATAGCAGCATGTGCATTAATTAAAAATGATCATAATTTGTTTAAAAATGACACGTCTTTACTATAAAATGACAAGTCTAAAATTGATATTAACAAGACAACTTTTCCTTATACATAACAAGATATAGCATCTACGTTAATTAAAAATGACCATAATTTATTTGAAAAAAACACATCTTTACTGGAAAATGATAAGTTTAAACTTGATATTAACAATACAACTTTTCCTTATACATAACAAGAAATACCGAATAAATTGTTGTTATTTTTCAATAAAGACGTGTCATTTTTAAATAAATTATGATCATTTTTAATTAATGCACATGCTGCTATTTGTTATGTATAAGGAAAAGTTGCTTTATTGATATCAAATTTAGACTTGTTATTTCTCAATTAAGACTTGTCATCCTCAGATAAATTGTTGTCACAAGCTGGAGTCACAGTAAAAGAGTTAACTTATATTTTTGTTTGCATTATAATGTTAAGAAATCTTTGATGGCCCAATGGCCATCCTTTTGTTGGTCCAAGTGGCCAAGGGGTTGTGGGATCAAATCCCACCCCCGCCTCTTTGAACCAATATTATCCTATTCCAAAAAAAAAAAAAATCTTGTCACAAAAATCCTTCACCGGCAGCCACCACACCGGTGGCCGGCGCCAGTGGCCAGAGGCGGTCGGCGGCCGCCGGTCTCCGGCCACCAGCGAGGGGTTGGGTTTTTTTTAAAAAAAAAAAAACAAAGGACATTTTTGTCATTTCACTGAATTTCAAAATTCCAATTTGGGAAGGACTTCCCTATGGGTAATTACATTTTCTTAGCTTCCCAAATTGGCATTTCACATTCTGAGCTTCTTTATCTGCCATTTTCCCTTTTTTCTAAAGTAATTTTTTTAATAATGATAGTTCTAGCCAATACACCTGATTAACAAGAATATTTTAGAAAATACAACATCTATTTATAACAAATAACTAACTTAACTTATTTTTTTAATCTATTCAAATTAGTTAACTACCGGAGGAAGTATATTATTAGTAGCTCATGAGCTCGTTGTTTAAGGAATGATTAATCTATTTTTCATCATGAGTTTGGTGAAAAGCATAACAGGAGGAAATGGAAGAGTCAACTGGGCTGATTATATGGGCCTAAGGCCCAAAAGTTTTCTCATTAGCTCCGTCTTCCCCTCGTCCACCAATTGGGCCAACGGGAGAGGGCAGGATGATACAAAAAGACCGGGGAAAACAATCCAAAAATAAAAATGATGAAAATTGATCATGGGACATCAGACCGAAGTCATCTCTCTCCTTCGCTGGACTGATTTCTGTGTCTCGCATCCACGCACTCGAATGCGGTTCACTTTTTGATGTCTGGGGGTACGAAGATACAGTTGATGCCTTGCATGGAGGAGCCATCCGTACCGAAACTGCTTTACGAGACGCGACGTCACGCTTCGGGAACCTACACTTCCAATTTCCCTTCCCCATACCAGGTTCTGAAGATCTCATCCACCTCTTCTTCCTCTCACTTTCCTGATTTGTTTTCATCTTATCTATGTGTCGGATCATCCGCGAAATTCGTAGCGAAATTTAGTTAGCGTTATTGATTTGATTTTTCATTTACCCTGTTTTTGTTCAAATTCAGGTAAATGAAGGTGCTAAGGGAGGCCTCTTACACTTGCTTTCGGTTCGAGGTATACCTGCATTTTCAGCATTGTTTTCTGAGGCGTACATTTCTGAAGAAGTTCATTGCACTTGTTTTGCTGATGAGTAGCGAAAATGCTTCCGTCCTTATCGTCTTTCTTTTGGTCTTCATATATTTGTTTTCGGATGGGTTTGTTCATTAATTGTCTGAGAAGGGTGGAGTTTTCGCCTATGTTCATGTTGTTAAGTTGATCAACATGTTCCGTCTTCACTAAAACTGAAGGTTATATACAACCATCTGAGCCAACATCTGCGTAGTAAGATTCTTGTAGCGGCAGATTATGTAGTTTTTCTTCACCAGCTGCTCATTGAATTACCGTAAAAATGGGTTCAGGTCCAACTCATCTTCATCATTGAGCTTTTCCTTATGAACATTAACCTCTTTTTGTGGGTGCTTGTGTGCTTTGAAGTGAAGTTGCTAACATGCATGAATTTCATGTGTTAATACAAACTGCATTGAATCAAATTCACAAGGAGCATCGAGGCTTTGGGCAGTTTTAGGAGAGATCATAGGTTTAAACCTTTGTGTTGTCCTTGTACCAAAAACAAAAAAAACAGCTTCTGAGAGTTTGTGGATGGGGTGGAGGGGAAATGTAGAAGTTAACCATTTTGAGGACTAACTGTTGCCTCACTATTTTTTTCTTTTGCCTGTACTTTCTATCAGAGAATGTAATGACAAATTTTCTCAGTGATACCAGTTGCATAAGATGCATATTTTAAGGACAAGTTTCGGCAAAAAGCTGAACTATTCAAAAGTTTATAGTTTGAATATAACCTACGTTGTTTTCTTTAAATTAATTTTATGCTTCTCTCGTTTGTGAAGGTGTCAGTCAACTCAAAGAGAAATGGACAGAATATAATCAGCCAAAACGACTTAGAAGGCTTATATCCCTGTTTATTTCCCCAAGAGGCAAACATGTTGCTGTTGCTACTGGAAATCAAATAACTACTCTGAGTAAAGAGGATGACTACCGGGAGCCATGTGGCATTTTCACTAGTATGATTTTATTCTTTTTGTCCATAAATTTGTATTCTGTGGATCAATGGATGTTAAGTATCAGATCATCTTGGAACATTTCAATTTGAGAGTTTTGTAAAATTGATGCTTGAATCAATATATATTCTAATAGATAGTGCTCTGGTGGATCAGACAGGATCTTGCAGCATGCATTCTATCTACTTATAAATCGCACAATAATTTTTCAAAAAAATAAATTATAGCATAAAGTGTATTATGAAATGTAAATATTGGATTACATCACTCTTAGCTCTTTCTTAGACATGAATAAAACAATTTGAACGTATAAGAAAACTGATAACCTTATATGCGGTCATATATCACAGGAAGCATCATGTTATATGATATGCACATTTCATATAGGATAAGATTTAGCAGCCCCTCCCGTCTTTTTACCTGCTTATTTGAGTCTTTAGATTATGTGAATCCGACTAGAGATGTTAATGCAGTCTAGAAAACCATACACGAATCAGTTGCATTAGCCTATTAGGGCAAGCGTCTGAAAGGAAAGTTGTCTCCTACAATTTGTAACAGCATGTGATACAGGTTGGAGTAAATGATATTGAAAAACATTTTGGGCTTAAATGGTGTTATTTAGTGCGGAAAACTGAAGTTGAAAAATTATTTCTTTCTGGGGGCTTCTCTCTAAATTTGCTTCTTATGTGCAATTGGTCCACTAGGTTGCAGCCTTTGTACATTTAGTGTAGGAGCTTGGTCTGAGGATGGTGACATTCTTGGGATTGCTGATGATACTGATACACTGTATTTTATCAAGGCGAATGGTGAGGTGATAGCAGAAATTACAAAGAAGCATTTAAAAGTATCTTCACAAATAGTTGGCATATATTCCGATAGTGATTTAAATACGCAGAAGTCTTTCTTGTGAGTATTTTTCCTTCATCTGTATCCCTTTCTTTCATCATACTGTTAGAAGTAAATGAAACACGATCATTTTCCTGCTGGTCTAGAAATTATGGTTGTCATTTTATTATTTTGGATGACAAGACATGTCAGTAGAATTTAAGCAACCACGTGACAAAGGAATATGAATTTGAAATGTTGGTTGTTTTTTTTCTAGTTGTAGGTTCGCTGTCATTACATTAGATGGTTCACTGCAACATATTGAGATCAGTTATGAGCCAAGTGTCTCCTTTTCCAAGCAGATTTCTGATCACAGGAAGCATCTCTGTAACAATGTCTGTGCCTTTGACTACCATCATGAACTTAAACTTTTTGTAGTTGTTGCCTATTCCACCACCACGTCTCTAACATCTGGCAAAAGCTCTGGTATGTTTCTTCTTCTTCCTTTTTTTTTTTTTTTTTTCCAATTTATCCATCGTGCTATATAATTGTTGATTGTGGATTGGAGTGGTATTTTCCCTATAGATGCAAGCTTTGTTTTACTTCTTGGTTTCAGGCATGGTGAAGAGTGGGGGTGACTAGATTATTTCAGGCTATTTCTTCTGTTAATTCCACATGTGACTTCTGCCTGGTCAGATTGAGATAATCAATTTTAAGAAATAAAGAAATATTACATTCTCCCTAATATATTAACATTTTATCATCCAAATTAAAGTTCTGGCGTCCCACAGGATCTTCATCTGGGCTTGTTAAAGTATGGTGAATTGCTCAGAAACTGCAAGATAAACCTGAGCTCTTTGCTTTTCTTGTATTTTCAACAATCTCTCTAAGCATGAAGCACTTTTGCATTTCATAGACCTTTTGCCATATTCTGTTGAGAGAGATTTTCTGGACATGCTTTCGTGTTTGACATGCTCTGATTCATCTGCACAGATTCCTCATGTTTCAAAATTACGCACAGAAACCACAGTTCTTTATTTGGTTAAGGGAGTAGTTTATTGATGAAATTTGCTTTTAAGGATTTAATGTCTTCTGAAAACTGGAAAATAGAACTTTTCACAGCACTTGTCTGTTGTTGTTCCAACTTTATTGTTCACTAGTTATGCCCGATTCTGTAGGGTCCGGCTATCTTACTCTGTGGCGTAAAAGTGCGAGCGCAGAGTTGGAGCAGTTTTGTTCTGTTCAGTTTGAAGGCATCTATTTGAAACCAAAAGGCTTTAAAGGTCAGCTAACATATCCGAAGGTGCTAATCTCAACAGAAGGCACCTTTATTGCGACTCTAGATTTGAGTGGGTCATTGCAAATTTTTAAACTGGACAAAGAAAGGTTTACCCTCTCTAGATTTTCATGGGGAAAGGGAGATGATTTACCTGATCCTGATAATTTATCAAAAGGAGGGAGGGCATCTTTTGTGGATATTATGGATTTTACTTGGTGGTCTGATCATATTATTACTACTGTCAATAAGAGTGGTGTGGCTGTGCTGATTGACATCCTTGATGGCTCAAAAGTTCAGGAAGATGATCCTGCATACTTTATGCCTGCTCTGGAGAAGGCAGCAACATCTAAAGGCCACCAGTTTCTTTTGGCAAGTTTTTTGTGCCAAGAAAATTATGATTCTTCTGAGGTTGTGGCCTTAGATAAGTTGCAGCGGATGGAGTGGGTCACTGAAGATGCACTGAATCAGATTCACTTTTTGAGGTTGCACTGGTGCCTTGTTTCATTTTCTGAGAAATCTATTTCTGAAATGTATGATATGTTAATCAGCCGCAAAAGGTTTCGGGATGCTCTAAATTTTGCTGATAGTTATGGACTGGATAAAGATGAAGTTCTGAAGTCGCAGTGGGTGAATTCTGACCAAGGATCCAATGAAATAAACACGTTTTTATCGAAAATTAAGGATCGAGATTTCATACTTTCTGAGTGTGTTGAAAGAATTGGACCAACAGAGGATGCAGTGAAGGCTCTGCTTGCATATGGTCTCCGCATCACTGACCAAAATCGATTTTCTGAAGCAACTTATCATAACAATAGTCAAGTGTGGGATATTCGCATGGCTAGACTTCGGTTATTACAATTTAAAGACAGGCTTGAAACATATCTTGGAATAAACATGGGCAGGTAACGTTGAAAGTAATAAATATTAATTTTCAAATAGAGTGGACCTTATGTTTTGTTTAGATACTATTTTCTGTCATGCAACATTTTCCTTCTAATGTTTTGGCTCATTTCCTTGTGTTTCTTCTTGCATTTATTCCACAATTTGTCCGGCCTTTATATTCTCCTACATCCCCTAAATGATGATGTCTTCATAATAATATGCATTGTGGGATACATGGAAAATGTAAGAAGAGTTTATTCAGTCATTAGACACCCGTCACAATTCTATATCTCCCTATTTATCCTAGTAGGAGAGTCTTGTAACTAACAGACCTTTTCTCAACTGTCTATTATTCCCATGTAACGATACACTTTCAAATTAGGTTAATTTCTCCATTGAGAGGGAAAGTGGCATTGCTGTGAGAATTTTTGGGTTTCCAAATTTACCTTTCAATAGATTGACAATGGAATGGAGAAGAGCAAAGGATAAATGGTTAATCTGGGGTGAAAAAAGTTTTTCTAGAATCCACTACTGTATAAACCCGGTCTGTCTGCAAAGTCCCCTGAACCACTAGCATATCACTGTGTGTTTGTAAAGCAAGAAGTGCACAAATTAAAGCCTAAGAGTAAAACTATTCGTGGGTAAGAATTTCTCCTTATACTTTACAAACATTAATCGTGAGATTTTTATTAGGGGAAAAGTACAAATACTTCTATAAAATAGGAAGTGCATGTTCTCTCCAACTCTAATTTTTGTGGGTACATCCTACGTGATTTAGTAATTTTGTAAACTGAGAAATAAAAGAAAGGTTTAGTTTTTATTCATTCTTCCACGTAATGCTCACGAATATTTTAACAATTTGCCATCAATCAAATTTCCTAATAATAATATTAAGTTTTTATAAAAATATATTCATTTTCGCTATGACATGTTAATTAGATTGGATAATGAACCCTACACAAATTACTTATGCAACTTCGGAATTGTATATCAATGCGTACAAAAACCAGAAAATTGGAATTGGCTTATCGAATGCTCTCTGCGAGTGAGGTGTGCACAGAGCCATCTTAATTTCATGTTTGTTTGTTGACCATTTTCTCTATCCCCACTCTCTGCATTCTGCAACACCTCATAAACATAACCTATATGCTTAAATAAATGTTTGCACGTGCAAATTTAATGCTCTTGGATGACTTTAAACTAGTCATTCAGCAGTTATTTTCGTTCATTTATTCTAATGGTTTCTACTGACTCAAAGTTCATTGACAAAGTTTTGTGCAGGTTTTCTGTGCAGGAATACGGCAAATTTCATGTCATGCCTATTAGTGAGGCTGCCATAGCACTGGCAGAAAGTGGAAAGATTGGTGCCCTAAACTTGCTCTTCAAGCGTCATCCGTATTCATTGACCCCTTCCATGTTGGACATTTTAGCTGCCATTCCGGAAACAGTTCCTGTGCAAACATATGGGCAGCTTCTTCCTGGAAGGTCTCCTCCTTCTGGTGTTGCTGTGAGGGAAGATGATTGGGTTGAATGTGATGAAATGATTCGCTTCATTAATGAGTCAGTCAATAGCCATGACATTAGCATCCAAGTGAAAACCGAACCTATTGTCAAGCATAGTGCTGGATTTTACTGGCCAACAACTAATGAGCTCTCAAAGTGGTATAAAGATAGAGCTAGAGCTATGGATTGTCTTAGTGGGCAGTTGGATAATTGCCTCAGCTTCCTTGACTTTGGTATTCGCAAAGGTATATCTGAATTGCAGCAGTTTCGTCAGGATGCCTTGTACTTGCACCAAATTATTTACTCTGATGACAATGATGGTGAATCATGCTTCAACATGAGTCTTGTCACATGGGAACAATTAACAGATTACGAAAAATTTAAAATTATGCTTAAGGGAGTCAATGAGGAAAATGTGGCTGAAAAATTATGCAACAAAGCAATTCCATTTATGCATGAAAGGTCTAATAAGATACCCACAGTAAAAGATATTCATCTTTGCAATTCTGCAAATCAAAACGAAGAGGAGTCATTTCTAGTCAGATGGTTGAAGGAAAATGCCTTGGAGAATAAATTGGATATATGCTTATCGGTGATTGAGGAAGGGTGCAGAGACTTTCAAAGTAATGCCTTCTTCAAAAATGAGATTGAAGTGGTTGATTGTGCTTTGCAATGCATATATTTAACCACAGTCACAGATAAGTGGAGCATCATGGCAGCAATATTATCTAAGCTTCCTCAATTGCATGGTATGATTCTGATATTTTAATGTTATTGATATGTCATAACCTTTCATAGTTTGTTAAGGCATGGTTTATTGCTCATTTGATGTGAAATAAATTGGTATATATTTCCAATAAACTTTTTCTTATATTCCCCGATATCTTGAATAGTATAAGATTCCTGTTTGATATGATGGTTAAAATTTTATCATAGAATTTAAATAGTTGGCTTTTTACATTTACCAAACTAAAACTTCGGGGATTTTTGATCCCCTGGTTTTTGGGTGGTATGAGATTCCCACTGAAATGGCATCATATGCCTCTAGCATCTTGAATTTATTTTGTACGTCGCTCCATTTACATGAAAACAAGAACTCAAATGTTTTATTGGTGTTATTGTGGCCAATATTTTTTCTTAGTAAAACCAGATTCCATATCTGACATGTTTTATAAACTTGTGATCAAGAAATATATTATTTCATGACTTATACTGAGGCTAACCCTTGTGAGTTTGTCATTGTTTTCCTTCTTGTGAGCATGTCTTTAGCAACTCAGTGTCCTAGCTGTTCGATATTGTTTTGCTATTTTTTCATTGCATATGAGATTGCATTATAACTTTGTTTTCAAGTTGGGCAGTGCTTGTTCTTGATTCACAAAGGTCCTATGTCCCTTCGCTAAGCATATTTATGTATGTTTATGTGTATCGTGAATGAATATTTGTTTATACAATTGATTCATTAACATTTCGTACTCAACATTGAGTGTAATAGATTTTTCTAAATGTTCAGATGGTGCATTGCAAGTTGAGAACTTTGAAAGAAGACTGAGAGTTGCAGAAGGCCATATTGAAGCGGGGAGGCTTTTGGCATTTTACCAGGTTTGTATTTTCTCAATTTATCTGCGAAACTTGTTTCCTATGCATATACAGAAGGACTGGCCAGCTTTGCTACTTGATGAACTTGCTATTCTATTTTCTTTGGTTATCTGTTAGGGCACTTTGCTATTTGATGAACTTGCTATTTTATTTTCTTTGGTTATCTGTTACAATCTTAACCTTTCATGAGGAGGTTATCTTAGTTTTCTCTTTGTTTTCTTTCTTCCTGAATATAATTTCTTGACATTAAAATAATCGAAGAATTGTGTCTTAATGTGGATTTCACTGTGGTAGATTATTGCTTTTTTACCTAGACTTTATTATGTTATAGATGGGTTATAAAACAAGTTTACAGTATGATTTTAAAAGTTAAGGTCTTGAGTATTTGAATCATAGTTCTTAAGTTAGTAGGATTTCACCATATACTTACGGATCTTTTCAGGTGCCCAAGCCATTAAGCTTTTTCCTAGAGGCTTATTCAGATGGAAAGAATGTGAAACAGATTATTCGCCTCATACTGTCAAAATTTATTCGCCGTCAGCCTGGCAGATCAGATAGTGAATGGGCCAACATGTGGCGTGATATGCAGTATCTGAGGGAAAAAGCGTTTCCTTTCTTGGACCTTGAGTATATATTGGTTGAATACTGTCGAGGACTTCTGAAAGCTGGGAAGTTTTCGCTCGCTAGAAATTACTTGAAGGGTACTAATTCAGTTGCTTTGGCAGCAGAGAAAGCTGAAAGCCTTGTCATTCAAGCAGCTAGGGAGTATTTTTTCTCGGCTTCAAGTCTTGCATGTTCTGAAGTAAGTTTTAACTAACTTGTTAACTGTACCATGGACATATTTGTAATGTCACCCTTTGCATGAAAAGTGGCTTACTAAATTTTCATAGAAAACATCAGGCACCCTAAAACGTCTAGGAGTTTTAATATAGTGACATATCCCCCCACCTTGTTGGGGGCCTAAAGAAGTGAAAAAAACACAGATAGAGAGAGATTCTAGGCTGATAACTGAAACCTAGAGTGTAATTGCTATCACCTTCTGGAGCCGTTTTCTCACCAAACAGAAGCTCCGGATATTCTTTTAGTGCATTCTGTTTATTCTAACTTTCTCTTAAATTAATTAAATTAATCAGTTAATATTAGGCTGCTACCTGAAACCTTAGAGTGTAATTGCTATCTAACTCATCTTTTCAGGCCATTTCTTCATTAAATTGACGTTCTGGATATTGTGGTAGTGCCTTTTGTTTATGCTAACCTCCTTTTAAATTACTTAAATTAATTAGTCACTCACTGCAACTTGATTCAGATATGGAAAGCTAAAGAATGTCTTAATCTATATCCAAGTAGTGCAAATGTGAAGGAGGAGGCTGATATAATTGAGGCGCTAACAGTTAAGCTCCCAAACCTTGGAGTGACACTTCTACCTATGCAGTTCAGGCAAATAGTAGATCCAATGGACATTGTAAAGATGGCAATCACAAGTCAATCGGGAGCATATTTGCATGTGGATGAACTGATTGACGTTGCTAAACTTCTCGGCTTACGATCACCAGATGACATATCAGCTGTCGAGGAAGCTATTGCTAGAGAAGCTGCTGTTGCTGGTGATTTACAATTGGCATTTGATCTTTGTCTTGTTTTGGTAAAAAAAGGGCATGGATACATATGGGATTTATGTGCTGCGATTGCACGGGGTCCTGCTCTTGAAAACATGGATGTAAACTCTCGTAAGCAACTCTTAGGTTTTGCTTTGAGTCACTGTGATGAAGAGTCCATTGGTGAGCTTCTCCATGCATGGAAAGATCTGGACATGCAAGGTCAGTGTGAGACATTAATGATGTCCACAGGAACAACTGCTTCAAACTTTTCAATTGCAGGATCATCTGCTGGCCCACTTTCTGAGAAAAGCACTCCAAACATATCATACCTTAAAGGTTTTGTTCAAGAATTTGACAGTGGTAGCACAGACAACCAGAATGTTCATCTTGATAAAGTTAGAGATGTGGTCTCCATTGTAGCTAAAACCTTGGCTGTTGAAAATGATGCAGATTGGGCATCGGTTTTGACAGAAAATGGGAAAGTTCTGGCTTTTGCCGCTTTAGAACTCCCATGGGTTGCTTGAGTTGAGTAAGAGTGA